CCTATACGCAACACCTCCCAGTTCCTCCAACAGTCACCCCCCCCCCCCCTACCACGCTGGCTGGCCCCGCTCATGTGCTCTCACGTCTATGCTGTTCCTTCTGGCTTTTTTTTTACTTGGAAAAAGAAAAGTTGTCGAATGTCGGAGACCTTGCTCCATTCACGTTCTCATTTTTTTTTTTGTCGCAGCAGTAAAGGTGTCGCTCCTCTTTTTGCCAACATCCTCTCCGCTTACAGCGATCCCATCCGCGGTCGTCTAGTGCAATAGAATACTAAAAAGAATAACTATAATATATCTACTCTTTAAAACAAGCAGTTTTCGAGCATATCGCGGATTTCATTCTCGTACGCCAAATTTTCCTTTTTTTTTCTTTGAGCGACGCGTGTTTGCGGGTAGAGCAAGCGGAAAACCGCGCGTCATCTTCGTGTACCCCCAAAGCATGTAACAGGACTCCGCTCCCGGACGCCCCTGCGGCCAACATCCAAGGCAGCGTGACAGATGCTCGCTCGACACATGCCCTAGCACGCTCTGCATGCGGGTGTGCCCTCGCGAACATAAGAGTACAGAGACAGGCCCTTCGCAATATTCTCCAATGTATGTTCGTCGAGCATCATTCGCGGCGTTTTCTTTGCCACCGTCGAGTTACTTTGCGTGCAATTTCGCCGTCGTGCGATGGCGCGGCGCTTAAAGGAAGGGGCGAAATCGAAGTGTGGTCGTTGTATGTGCGTGCGTATGGCGAGGGATCGGCATGGGGGGAAAGTGGTAACTCTATTGCATGTAGTATCATCTGTCTTATTCGAAAAGCAAACACTAAGCTCACAAATCTCTTTCTCAGATGTATGCGATATACACGCCTATGCGTGGAAAGGGGCGATTACCTGTCATTTTGAATGCAGTTGTTGGCCAAAAAAGAAGCGTGGAAGGCATTTTTCTACTCATACGAAACCTATTTCACATTACTCTAATTCTCTGGAACAGCTCTGGAAACGGAACTAAGTGGGTCATTTATCAACGCTTCTAACAGTGTTTTCAAGAAGCCAAGTAATTATGTACTAACCAGGACCCATCTTGACAGAAACGTCGCGCAGCAAAATTTTTTTCTAAAGGTACATTTCAGGCAATCACGATGCGAGACATAACATTAACGAAACCGGCCCTCCAATGGCAAGACGCACTTACGAAACAGGAGTTTCGTTGAACTCGACCCCAGATCCCTTTAAAAGCTTTCTTTAATCTCTTTTATACACGTGCTTCAGTGCAGTTTTTTTTTTTCGATCAAGCTTTTTTCATAATGCCAATAAAGTTATGAAATTCCTGAATTTTGGGTGCCTTTAACCACGGCCTAATTATGGTGCATGCTGTGCGGTAGGACTCCCCATTAAATTCGATCACCAAGAAAGTTTTCAACGTAGCCCCAAACTTACAGGGCTTGAGCGCTTTGGCACTACACCCTTATCAGAATGCGGCTACATCGGTGCGTATCGAACCGGCGACCTGGTGCTCAGCAGCGGGACGCTACTTAGCCACTGAACAAAACAGCAACGAGTACCCTATCCCAGCTGTTGTAGTATGCTATCCAGGCAAATAGGAAAACACCTTTCAGGCTCTCAGTAATTGAAATCTCAAGTGTAAACAGTTCGTCATGCTCTAGTTGTCTGCTCATTTTTATCCAAGGTATTAAACTTTTATATAATTTTCGTCATTATTAATTCCTTAGCGTGTATAGAACGGATGTGGACCAGTACAACAATAGTGCCCACTGAAAATTTATTATAAGATGTACGCGCTAAGTGACGCTTTCATGCAGGGCTAGAACTTTAACGAAGCACACAGCAACACTGAACGTGATCTATGTGGCATGCGCCAACGAAGTGGGGAAGCCTGACGCATGCATGAATGTAGAATTAAAAGATCCGATCCTCCAACTAAATAAAGTTTTTTCATTAAATAAAATTTTTTCATTAAATAAAGTTTTTTCATTCCATTCCATCCTCAAACTTAATTTATTACATAGAAGGACCCTCTCTACCTGGCTTAAAGTTTCACTGCATCTGTAGCATAGAGTTCTCACTAAAAATTGCCGAAAATAACAAAAAAAGAAACAGTGCAAACCACAGAACAACTAGATAGAGACGTACTAAACGCTGACTTACAATTGAAGTTTAATTGGTTGTATATATTTGCACGTGAATTTTGAAAGAATTTTCGGAATAGCGCAGCATTTCTAAGTTGGCACACAAGAGAACGCATCTTTGCTATGCGTCAAAACATCTACAGAATCACGCTGGCTCGCGCTGTTTCTCGTTCTTAATACATATTTACAAAGTGTTCCAAATAAACGCTCTATCGACGTATAGAGTTTTCGACAGGTGTTGCCCGACCGGTATTAGGAATCGTACGACCGACCACATCTATATAAAGAGCTATGGCGTAGAAAAAGAACCTTCATCGCATCCGACAACATCGCTCAAAACCTCGCACGCGCGCGAACGGGCACGTCGGGAATGACAAACTGCGGCCTAAAGTCTCCATCCACGCCCCGTCTTCACCGAGGCGCGAAATCAAATAAGCCTCTTTCTTTAGCGACCACGCTCTTCCATATACCAGTGTTCGCTGCGAGGAAGAAGCACTTGGCGCCTTGCGCCGCCCAGACTGTATATATGTACCGTGGGGTTCTTTCATCCGGAAACAGTAACACCGCGGCGGAATGAAAGATGAACGTCGAGAAAAAGAGAGAGCTCAGAGTGCGGAGAGAGAGTCCGATTCTCTCTAGCACAGCGCGGGCAGATACATGTTGCAGCAAGCCAAGACTGAAGTTGAAACCAGTCGGAACGGCAAATCCGGAAAAGTGCTGTGAAATAAAACAGCACTAGCCCGCGTCTCAGCGAAGGGGTGAACCGACTCGCGAAAGATAAGAGGTTTCTTTTTTTCGTCTCTTTGCGCATTTCTTGTTACATAAAGAGTACATTTCTGAGAGGCGAGTATGAAAGCGCAGAAAGGAAGCAAGGGGGTGCGGGGGGGTCTGGAAAGTGATAAAAAATATTTGGCTGAGTGAGGAAATCCCGTATTTGCACTCCGAGAACGATGGCTTCGCGTGGAAAGCTTCACCGCTTCACGACGGATGGGTTGGAGCAGAGAGGGACCATTTTTCATTCCGGGCCAGAGAAGTCCTGTACACAGTATAAGGGCTCACTTGAAACCGTAGTGTCTTGCTCACTTAAAAAAAAGAAGAACTATAAGCGCGAAGAAAATTTAAAAATGCAGGATGTGTTGGCTTTATTGTGTATTTCTTTTCGATGTCGCTTCTAAGCACTTTCAGAGGAGTTTTAATGCATCAGTGCGCGGACCACCCAACGACAAAGGTGCGCGCTTTTCTCCGGCGTTTTCTTCGTGATGCTTATTTACAGGTCCGTATGCTTGACGGGCATTATTATTATTATTATTATTATTATTATTATTATTATTACTATTACTACTACTGCTACTGCTACTGTTACTATTATTACTGCTATTATTATTATTATTATTATTTTATTATTATTATTATTATTATTATTATTATTATTATTATTATTATTATTATTATTATATTATTATTATTATTATTAAGCCCGTGCTCGTTTTATTCCTCCGCAAATGCTTTACCTCGCTAAGAGACTTGAGCGTCCTGCAACCCTCATCTCTGTAACTCTAAGTAGGACGTACATTTACTCAACAAGCCGAGAAGCACACGGAACGTTGGCAGGATAACCGACTAACGATGGCGACTCTCTTGTGCTTTGCATATACCAGCAAAGTCTCTTCTTGAGATAAAGGTGACCTTATATTGCTCTGTTTTCAGACACTTAAAGATATATTTTGTATTCAACTTTAATTTTGCCCGTGGTAGATTTTTTTTAAAGATATATAGTCTGACAGCTGGAGGATGTCGGAGGGAGCAATCGAAAAAATACATCTCCATTAATAAGATACATGTCATACCTGGAGTTGTTAAATTCGAGATGGGAACAATGCAAGGATGAATTAACGTGGTTATCAAACGTTCCGCACATAAATACACTTTTTAATGATTCTTGTCTTCGAGCTTACGCATTTTGTATTTGGTCTATAAAACTTTGGAGACATACAGGTGCTCGACTGACTGATTGAATTTAGAAAAAAAATGGCAGCATATCCACAGAGTGAATGATGGGGAGTGGGGCGAAGCATTCGTCCGTCCATTCGTTCTTGCTTCCGTCCGTTCCTGCGTACGTCTGTGTAATTGTCCATGCGTCCATCCACCCGTTCGTGCGTGCGTCTGTTCCTGCGTCCGTCCCTGCGTTCGTCCATGCGTCCGCGCCTGCGTCCGTTCATGCGTCCATCCATGCATCTGTCTGTGTGTCCGTTCGTCCATCTATTCAGCACTCCAAGTACCACCATCTCGCATCTTTTCATCATATATTCTCCATATAGAAGCACCGCCATCCAGCGGACATTTCAAGGACTAAACGGGAGGTGGCACATGCACACTTTCTTACGGCTTGCGCTTCGGGTTTCCTTCCCACCTTTATCCACCTCAAGTTCATGGTATATACAAGTTCACTGTATTCATGGCTATGCGGCCCAACGCTCGCTAAACCTTTCTAAAACAAGGAGGTTACACCCAGCGAGTATAACGTAGCGACCCTTTCTTGTCAGATCGTACTCAATGTACATGCCAATAGCTGCTAATGGGGATCGCAGCGTGCGCGTTACCTAAAGGCCGAATGCTCCTGTCTCTCATTCCCCCTTCGCAGCCATTGACATGTGCATTGAGCACTATCTTTTATTGTTCAACAACGCACACAAGAAATCTTTCACCGAAACCACCTTGGAGGTCAAAAGCGCAAGAACCGCTATTACGGGTATGTGCCACTGGTGGTTACGTACTACGAGGGACGCACAAGCCATGCCATAAGGAGCTTCGCCCCTAAAAAAAAAAAAAAAAAAAAAGATGCGCCGAATAGAATCGGACTACTCACCTCTCGTCCTCTGTTCTTCGGATAGCTGCTTCTCGAGGCTCTCTCGAAGTCCTCGCTCTCGCAGCACTTCCATCTTGAGCTCAGCTGTGAGGCAGAGAACGAGAACGAAGGATAAAAATGAAGACACGGCTGTTACAATTATTGTCACGAATCAACAAGGAGCGCATTGTTTCACATATTCGCCAAGCACGAGCATTATGGTGACACTAAACTGAAACAACCGATTGGTTTAGATTGACGAAATGTAGTCTGCGAACTTGGATGTCATTAACTTCACGTCGTCGTTAATTGATAAAAGAGAAAATCAGAGTCAACGCTCAATTTCTTCTCCATTCCGCAGCTGCATTGCCGCATATGATATAGATTGCAATGTGTATTTTTCATATTTTGGCGACATTGCCTGAACGTTCCTGAAACTTGGCAAGTTAAATATATGGATTTCTTAGACAATATCATCATCATCATCATTAGCCTGAATTCTCACTGCAGTACAAAGGATCCCCCATCTTCCGCTAGTAAACTGGGTCCTGTGCTTGCGGCTGACACTTTATACCCGCAAACTTCCCTAACTCATCTGCTCACCTAACTTTCTCTCTCCGCTTCACCCGCTTACCTTCTATTGGAATCTAGTCTGTGAACCTTACTGACCAGCGGCTATCTTGCCTTTGTGCTATGTGCCCTGCCCATGACCATTTCTTATTGATTTCGACTATGACGTCCTTGACACAAGTACGTTCTCTCATACATTATGCTCTCTTCTTGTTCCTTAAGGTTACGCCTATCATTTTCCTTTCCTTTCCTCACTGCGTCGTCCTCAACTTAAGCTGAACCGTCTTTGTAAGCCTCCAGGTTTCTGCTCCGTAGGTAAGTATCAGCAAGATGCAGCTGTTATATACCTTCCTCTTGAGAGATAGTGACAATCTACCATTCATGATTTGAGAATGCTTCCCAAATGTGATCCACCTCATCTTATTCTTCTAGTTACTTCAATTTCATGGTTCGGCTCCTAGCTACTACCGATTAGGTAGGCGATTACTACCTACATGTCCTATGTAGACGTACATTTTTACAACTTCAATTGCACTGCTACGTACCTCGAAGAGCGGTTCTGTTCCGAGGTTGTACATTACTTTCAATTATAATCCTGAGTTCCTTAGCAACGCCACGTCATCAGCAAAGCGTAGATTATTAAGGTGCTCTCCATTACCTTTTATCCCTAACTCTTCTCATTCTAGGCGTATGAAGACCTCTTGTAAGCAGACGGTAAATAACATTGGGTAGATCGTATTCCCTGGTCTAAGACCCTATTCTGCCGCTTTATTTACGGAGCACTATATAGCGGCAGTTGAGCTGCTAAAGATTTCTTTCACGATGTTTGTATATGCGGCTTTGCCGACACCCCTATTCCGCAGTGTCAGCATGACTGCTGATATTTCTATTGAATGAAATGCCTTCTCGTAATCTATGAAGGCTATCTATAATGGTTGGGTGTAGTCTGAGCTTTTCTCTGTCAGATGATTGATAGTATGAATGTGGTCCCCCGCCACAGTGGTCTAGCGGCTAAGGTACTCGGATGCTGACCCGCAGGTCGCGGGATTGGATCCCTGCTGCAGCGGCTGCATTTTAAATAATAAATAAATAAATAAATAAATAAATAAATGTGGTCTATTGTTGAGTAGTTAGTATGAAATCTTGTTTGATACTTCGGTTGATTTAATTCTAATGTCGCCTTCATTCTGTTAGCAATTACTATTGTAAATAGCTTGCATACGACGGAGAGCAAGCTGACAATTTACTTATTGGGATTAATTATAGAATCTAGTAGATGTCTTAAAAATCTACAAAGTCATGACGTTCGGTGCGGGAATTTTAAAGTGGCGCTGCCGCCCCCATTTTCTTGCGCGTTTTGTCACCTAACAAGCCTTGTTGCGATCAAGCGGTGAAATGAAAAAAAAAACTAAACTGAAGCGTGTAAAAAGGAGAAAAAAACAGGAATGGAAATGCCATGATTCCTCATGGGTGTTGTCGTCTTATTTTTTAAATTCTATATGTCACAACACATTAATATACTTAAACAACACAAAACCGAACACCTTGCTGCCATACGAACACAGCCTCCCTAAGGCTATAGAGAGACTCCCTTTAGCTACAATGTAACCAAAGGGAGTCCGTCATTGATTTTGACCTCTCATAAATGATTCTTCGAGGAGACCTCAATCGCTCGGGGACCGTCGCTCGAAGACGATTCCCGAGCGCACACCTTTATTTCGTGCAGGACGGCAGGGAGAAAAAAGAGGAGAAACGCAAAAAGGCACCACAGGGCCGGTCTGCGGAAAAAAAAGTGCAAACGACTGCGAATCGCGCCTTTTCACGCAATCGGCTCCGAAAGATGGGGAGTCCATCATCATCGCTTTCCCGCGTTTTCAATATCGCGCGCGCACCATGGCACGGGCCTTTTCTGCCTGTGGCATCCTGAAAGCGGCCGCCACTCAGGAAACAGTTACAGACCATAAAGGAGATCGAAAAAGAGGACGTCTTCGACGGGGATCGCCAGCCGAAATGAAGACAAACTGGTGCGTGGGCAGGCAAAAAGAAACGAAAACAGTAGAGGTGAGATGGCCGGAAGCAGAGAAAGAAGAGTGAAAAGACCATTCCTATAAAAGGGGGCAACGGATGAGCGCCGAGGAATCAGTTACGAGCACGGCTTATGCGCTGCAGGGCTCGTGCAAGACTTGCGAGGAGAACGCATGGCGTGCGCAGGCGAACCGGCGCGTTCCATCCTAAATGCATTCGTCGCACGCAAACTCCCGCCCAGGCGCAGTCGACTGGGACCTGCCCTTTTCAATCGAAACAATGAACTGTCTCGGGCCGAAGCCCTGCGCACGGGTTCCTCTGTGGACCAATAACCGTAATTGCGAGAAAACGAAGGAACAGTTCCGTGCCCAGTACCACGCCCGAGATAAGGGCAAACGGCCGAGCGGTACTTTATTTTCTTTTTATCTTCGTAGAGGTCCTCGATCGACTGCTGCATGCACGGTTGAGATACGCGTGCCGCGATCGGCCCTATATGTATTTGTGGACGTGTATGAATGAATAAAAAAATTACCGACAGCAGCCGATTGTGGTGCCCGTGTGGTGCCTTCGATGATCTTCGGATACGTTGAGTCTTTAGTTTGGGGAGAAAGATTTACAGTCAAAGACAAAAAGGAATGGGGTAAAGGGAGGTGCTGCAGGATGTGACCGTACCCGCCCTCTGAATGTTCATTGAAATGTCGATAGCAGGCGACAAGTAACTTTATTATCTGACGCGAGAGAACGTTGCGATCAGGGTATTGGTATAAATTGAAAAAACGTGACCGGGACAAGCTGTCTAAACGTCTAAAATAAAAGCCATACTTTCGTGATGTATAAGGATTTTACGTAACACTCATGGGCTCGACCACCTTGGGCCCTTAAACGAATGTTTTCTTACTTTTGCACTTCGTGACGTGAACTGATAAGGCCAGGAAAAGTCGAATTCACCCAACCAAGCATTTTTGATGTGTATATGTCCACTATGGCACCGGTAGTTTATAGTTGTTTATGTTAGGAATTGGCCAGGTTAACAGCCCTATAAGGCAGCATCTAATACCATCCGTGAAACACTCTATAGGCACTAAAACGTCTTCTTTTTCTGCCATTACACTTGCGTTCACTTTTAAAATTGCTTATAGTTAACCGCACCTCCGGTCACTACCAACAGCGGCTGTCTCGCTCCCTTGACTGCTTACTTCTTTGTTATATTACGTGCCTTACCGCAGCAGATTTAAGCGCACGGACCTTAATTATTTTATAAAAGAAATAAAGTATTTTGCTGAACGCTGTCAGATGTGGAACGTGTCAAAGTGCACCGCACGTATACCTTGTGACGACCACGAAATTGCCTAATGAAAGGTATTGTGTAGCACGAAACTTCCTCGTATGCAGCAGCACTGCCCACCGTGCACGAACCCCGAAAGCACGTTTATGAGGACAGACGCAGGATAAAGCAATCGCACTGCTCCCACGTGCTTCATATTGTGTGGCAAACGTGGGATCTCTGTCCGCTAGCTTCAGGAACCGATGACCGGGGCTAGAACGTTATTAAAACGTAAAAGAATGATGACCTGAAAGGAGGACGGCTGCACGACGCGTCATATCTGAGGCAGGCAAGCTGCTGATATATGCTGCCCGAGCCGTGGCTCTCGAAGGCGTCACGTCTGACAGCGTCCGTGGTACGTGACACAGTCGTCGAAGCCAATAGAACGCCCGGGCGATCTTGATAGTCTGTAGCGGCGAGCGTATGCGCGAGCTCAAAAAAACACAATGGGCGCACGTCTTGTCCTTGGACACTCCGCGAGTCCACGAGCATGCATGATGCACGACCGAAATCAGTTCACGTCTTCGCGTAAGAGTTTTTCCTCGTATCCGTCGCTGTCGAACACAATGGCGTTGTGGGCGAACGGAGATGGCCCGCCCCTGATGGCGCTGCGTGCGGTTGTGGTGTCTATCGGCACGAATAAGTGGAATAAATACATACAAGTTCTGCCTAGTGCGTGCTTTCATCTCAACTGTGATCTCTCGCGAGCGGAGTTATAAGTACAATGCTTTGTTAAGATGCGATGACTGAAGACAGGTAACCAATGCTTCGTGAGCCACCGAATCTCTTGTTTAAGAAAATAAAGAAAAAAGAAACAGGGAGGCCATGGCATGTACTTTGTTCGAACAGGTGTCTATACGTTTCAGGCACACGTCGGCGTTGCTGTAAAACAATGTCATAGTTAATGAACGGCTGACTGTCCGAGGAATTTCATGTACCTTGGCATCGTTTAATGAAAAGGCATGTCATCAGACTCATCACACTCCATGGAGATTACACGTGTGCGGCGATTGAATTCGGCTGACGCCGGCCTGTCCAGCAGCCTAAGCAGTACAATTTCCTAATAGTGAGTTCAGGGTTACTGTTTTTTTTTTATTTTCATAAGTTATGAATAACTGACTTTAGTGATCAACAATCTTTTTGTGTCCCAAGATATTGCTCTGTAATGTTTCCAAACGCCACCAAA